GGGGGGGGGAGGAAGGAAGCGAGCGGGAGAGAAGCAGACAGCATCCGCTGTGCAGCCATTTACTGGAGAGCGGTAACTCTGCATGAAGCAGGCATCTCAGCCCCAAGGTACAGCAGGAGGACCTGACCTAGGGGGCGCTGTCACGCACCGCGGCACCAGCACCCTGCCCCGTGCACTCAGAGAAAAAGAGCAAAAAATATGCTAAATAAATAACAGACAAGTGTAGGTCTATGAAGAACACGAATGTGCCTGTGGGCGGTTTTCAACCATGCAAACCAATGAGATCAGGTGGTTTTCAACCATGCAAACCAATGAGATCAGGTGGTTTTCAACCATGCAAACCAATGAGAGCAGGTGGTTTTCAACCATGCAAACCAATGAGAGCAGGTGGTTTTCAACCCTTAGTACCTGATTCGCTACAAAAAAAAGTGGACAGTTGTCAATTGTTGTGCATCATTCGCTAAAAAGAAAAGAGGCTGGTTTTCTGTGTCTGGTTTTCAATCATTATACCTGATTTGCTAAAAAGAAAAGAGGCCAGTTTTCAATCATTGTACCTCATTTGCTAAAAAGTGGCCGGTTTTCGATCATTGTATGTATAATTGGTCCACTGAAACATTACTGGGGTAGCTCCTGTAATTATTGTCTTTTTTCCGGCTGAATAATCTGATGTGGAGCGAGGTGCAGACTTCGCAGACTTCGCAGACTTCGCAGACTTTGCAGACTTTGCAGACTTCGCAGACTTTGCTGTGTGCCGTGACCGTGAAGCGGTCATGACGAATCCGCACTAGCCGCTGTCTTCTTAGTGCGGCATCGCTTGGAAAGCTGTGAAAACTAAAAACTCCGACATATTTTGAAGATGCTGTGCATTTAGGGACACAGTCGTGTTTGTGACACTGTCACTCCTAAAACAGAAGTTTTTCTTTTCTTGTGCTGATCGTTCCGCAAACAGGAAGTGAGTCGTATTTCGCACTTGCAGACAGGACGTCAAAGAGCCTATTTGATAGCTGAAATCCGCCCGCACTGTTTGTGTTATGTAAAGACCTTCTCGAAAATAGGAGTAACTTCTCTATTCTTTATTTTTCTTTTAAAAAAATATTTCATTATGGTGCTATTCACAATAAAAGAAGCCATACACATTACTATCCTATTGAATGGATTAATCCTTTATCTTTAAACAGTATAAAGGTCTGTCTTTGGTGTCACCTTGAGTTCATCCCTGATGACTCTCTGCTTCAAAGCGGCCGACGCCGGGTCCTGGATGCAGAAGTCCCAGCTACCGAAGACCTTGAAGCTCATGTTGAAGGAGAACCGAACTCCCAGCATCCACTTGTGCTTGTAACCATTGACAGTCCTATGGGGAAGGAGGCGGACATTAGACTGAGGATTATGGGACTGCTGCTCAACTTGCACCCTCTGAATGTATTGGCTTTGCAGACGCTTCTATCCCAAGTGACATACAGCAGGGTCCCTGGAACATTGTGTTCATTGTTCTATTCAAGAGCACAACAGTGACACGGGGACCGAACCAGTGCCCTTCTGATGACGGGCACATTCTTAAATCATACCCTACAGGAACTGAGGTGGAAGTTCAATTAGAGTGGGTGGGGCCTAGTGGTATATTCACCAAAGACATACACCAAAGGTCACAGGGAGTTTATTTTCTGTCAGTCGCCCTGCAGCCTGACCTGCGGACCAACACAACCAGGCTGAGGATGAGCACAGAGGAGACCCCCAACAGGAAGAGCAGGGGCGTGTTCAGACACTGTCCCCAATGCAACACAGGCTTGTAGAAACGGTAGAAGACAGGAGAGTGTTCCAGGACGCCCTGCGGGAGACAGGAAGCCAGCACACGTTTCAGGAGGATTCTGGGTATTTTCTGCCACTGGATTGTGTGCACGTTTTTAGGAATCTAACGCAGGAGCACTAACTCACCGTGCCCAGGAGAAAGTGAAGTACAGAAACGTTCTTGAAACCTACAGAAGGCAGAGAACAATATTGTAATTTTCAAAAGGAAAAAATGCAAATAATAAAAAAAAAAACACTCTGAAAACCTATAGCTTGTCATGCAAATGTCAGGCAGCAGGTGGCATAGTGGCGTAGCAGTTAAGGGGCTGATCTTCCAGTCAAAGGTTCCAGGTTTAAATTCTTCATTGTACTCATATGCCGTGTGCATCAATTAAAATATTTCAGGCAGGAACTGGCAGAAAAATCAAGCAGGATAAAGTATATAAATAGGCAGTAAAGAACTGAGTGGTGTGTGATTATAACATGACCATAAGGGTGTATTTGTGGTGGGGGGACTGGAGGCAAACGTACCTCCATGGTAATACAGTCTGTTGTCCACATCGAAGATGAATTCAGGGGCCTGTATCAGCCCCCCAGTCAGCAAGCAGCTGATCAGGTTAAGATAGACCAGGTATCGCAGGAAGGCAAAGTATACCTTCACACCTACACCAAACTTGCCTGTTGGGGAGGGCAATAAAGACCTTAAGATCCTATTCTGTCCCCATGTAATAAAGGACAATGATGTCAGCCATAACCAGCTCAGGTGCACCGCCCCCCCCCCCCCCACCACCTTCAATGCTGTGCAGGGTACGTCTCCACGGCTGCAGCCCTGACAGGAACTGCCACATCTGCTCCAGGCACCGCCTCCTCATGATGCTCTGGCTCCGCCTCCACGACTCCCAGCAGCCAATGGAGCGCCGCTGCAGGTGCCGACGTTCCCTGATTGACAGAGGGCACACTGGGAAACCGGCTCTGTAGGAATCTGCAGTCTTTTCGTCTGTCACGCACGCCAGAGTTTCGACGTTCACGACGTGTGCGGTTTGGCTCGAGATCTTGATAGATATGCAGGGCTCTGAATGTTGGCTCGCTATAGCTACAACACTACCATTGCTGTGAAGAGACACACGAGTTCACAGCACGTGAAAATCATCGGCATCGCGCAGAGATGTTTGTTTTAGTTATTCACCGAATGTCTGTAAAAACTAATAAACCAATACTGGTCCAAAGACACTAAACCCTGAATTCACAAAATCCCGTAAGTTTTTCGCCTTTAAATTAGAGCCAGGTGAAGCCGCAGGAGGCAGAGTGGCTGAAGATCTTTACTAGTAAATAGTAAATAGTGGCGTTATTGTGGTAGATAGACAGGCAAAGAAACAGATTAAAGGTCAGGGATCACTACAATTTCTGGGTTTTCTATTTCAGTTTGAAGGTTAAATTACATTAGACAAGATAAGACTGGACGGACGGACGGACGGACAGACAGATAGATAGATAGAATGACACAGGAAATAAGTGGTGCATCCCCGGGATCAAACTAAACGGGCCCAAAAGAGCATAGCGATGCAGACGTCACTGCTCATCTCTGCTGATTACAGACCTTAGTCATTGTCATTTGTTTGTTCTTGCAAACTTTGACCGTGTGCCCTGTGTGGGCGAGCTGTCACCGCACCGCGCCACAGTGCATCCGCAGCTGCCAGGAAATGGGCTTAAGCAGATGCCTGATCTGCTGCCCGGGCGCCATAAATATCGGTGATATCTGCAGCATACGATGCAAAGCGGGGCGGCCAAAACGATGGTATCTTCACAGTGGGAATGAAGAAAGAGCAACTTTTGTATTGTCCTTCACATACTTATAGATGGTATATATACATATATATAAATACACACACACACACAGCACCCAGCACAAGGCAAATGTTTGACCAGAGAGTGAAGGCAAAGCGGCCACTGAGTGCTCAGCGTGTCTGTGGGACCTCCTTCAGGACGGCTGGTAAAGCATCCCAGGAGGCCGCCTCATGGAACTGGCTTAGAGGAGACAGCAGGGGCAGCCAGTCCCTGGGGCAGTTGGGGTTAAGGGCCCAATGGCGGGATCATTCTGATGACCACGGGATTTAAACTGCCAACCCACAGAGCACCCCCACCTCCCAAACAAATGACATTTTTTTGTTAAATACTTCTTAGGTTAGTGCATAATTCCATTACATGTTGTTTTATAGTTTTGATGTCTTTATAATTATTCTAAAACATAGAGAATAGTACAAATAAAGCTTTTTGTGGGTAGGTGTGTGCAAACCTTTGACTGGTACTGTATATATATAGAGAACAATGAACACAATGCATACAATGCAACAACATATTATTAGACGGTCGGTATAAATTACCATCAGCAAATGCTGGAAGATGGAATGGGGAAGATGGTGGCGCAGGAGATAGTGCTATTGTTTGGCAACTGGAAGGTTGCAGGTTCGAACCCCACTAACCCCATCAAAGTGTCCTTGAGCAAGACACTGAACCCCAAATTGCTCCTGGTGTGCAGGTTGGTGCCTTGTATAGCAGCCTCCACCATTGGTGTATGAATGTGTGTATGGATGGTGAATATGAGGCATAAATTGTAAAGCGCTTTGAGTACTCGTAGGAGTAGAAAAGCGCTATATAAATGCAGTCCATTTAACAAATACTGAATATCAGATTCTCTGTGACATGGATCATTTTGTGTGAATCAGGAATTCTTTACAGCAAAGATAAAAAGAGCTGCTGTTGACGTCCTACATGTGATAAGGTGGAGATGTTCCATAATCTGATTGATTGATGGTAGGGGGACCTTTCTGATTTTGGGTCTTAATGAAACCTCTTTAAATAGCACTGTAAGTCGGGGGATGTGCACCCTTCTGATGCTTCTGTCTTAATTGTGGTGATGTGTCCTCCTGGGTCGTCTGCACACCGGTGACACTGACACACAGGTAAAGGTGTCATCGAGACCACCCCCCCACCCCTACAAACCTGGTGTCCCTCTTCTCCTGCATCGTCAGGGGCAGATTTCTGAGAGGCACGTTGGGGTCCCTGTCTCTGCTCAGGCCCCAGACATAATCGTCGGCTCCCTGCCCCTGGGCTGACCCCCCCGGCCAGCCCTGTTGATGCTTGGACTGGCCCCCGGGCGGCTGGTCGCAGAACGGCTGCTGCATGTCGTCGCAGAACACCACAGTTAATTCGGAGGTGTCCATCTCTTCTGCAAGCATGGATGACAGTGTCAGTCTTTAAGGTACGAGTCTGTGTGCCCCCGCACTGCGCCTCCATCTGCACACACACAGGCACTGCGCCTCCATCTGCACACACACAGGCACTGCGCCTCCATCTGCACACACACAGACACTGCGCCTCCACCTGCACACGCACAGCGCCTCCACCTGCACACACACAGGCACTGCGCCTCCATCTGCACACACACAGACACTGCGCCTCCACCTGCACACACACAGGCACTGCGCCTCCACCTGCACACGCACAGCGCCTCCACCTGCACACACACAGACACTGCACCTCCACCTGCACACGCACACACACAGCGCCTCCACCTGCACATGCACAGGCACTGCGCCTCCACCTGCACACACACAGCGCCTCCATCTGCACACACACAGGCACTGCGCCTCCATCTGCACACACACAGGCACTGCGCCTCCATCTGCACACACACAGACACTGCGCCTCCAT